CATTTCATTTCGATGAATGGTTTTTGAGATATTGCCCTTGACTTAGAACGCGTCGAAATTTGTTAAAAATAGTTTGTGAGCAGGATTGACGCTACAGTTTTCAACCGATTCTGATGAAACTTGTTGTGATCATTGGAATTGATAAGATCTTGGAAAAGTTCTAATTTGACACATTTTTGATGAACGGTTTTTGAGTTATTGCCCTTGACTTTGTAAAAACGCGTCAAAATTTGTTAAAAATAGTTCGTGAGCAGGATTGAAACTACAGTTTTCAACCGATTCTGATGAAACTTGGTGTGATCATTGGAATTGATAAGATCTCGAACAGGTTCTAACTAGACGCATTTTCGATGAACGGTTTTTGAGTTATTGCCCTTGACTTTGTTAAAATGCGTCGAAATTTGTTAAAAATAATTTGTGAGCAGGATTGAAGCTACAGTTTTCAACCGATTCTGATGAAACTTGGTGTGATCATTGGAATTGATAAGATCTCGAACAGGTTCTAACTAGACGCATTTTCCATGAACAGTTTTTTAGTTATTGCCTTTGACTTTGTAAAAACGCGTCAAAATTTGTTTGCGAGCAGGATTGACGCTACAGTTTTCAACCGATTCTGATGAAACTTGATAAGATCTCGGACAAGTTCTAACTTGACGCATTTTCAATGAAACGTTTTTGAGTTATTGCCATTAACTTATGAAAAACGTGTCAAAATTTGTTTTTGAGCACAATAGAAGCTACAGTTTTCAACCGATTTTGATTGATAAGATCTCGGACAAGTTCTTACAAGAGATATTTTTGATGAACATTTTTTGAGTTATTGCCCTTGACTTTGTAAACACGCGTCAAAAGTTGTTTTTGCCCTTGATTAGAGCTGTGTGATTTAATTGTTTAATTCGTACTTTAGTCACTAAAGACTGTTTTATTATTTCTGACAGCTGCCAGTGGGCGTATGTTACCTTGCATCGCAAGCTATCTTTTCTAATGTTATTAAGGCTATCTCTGATAAATTCATAACATTTAAAGGGCAAATTGAATTAGATGGAAAGATAATTCATGATGGAGGACACAAACAAAACATGGATTTAATGCCGAAACTTTTCACAATTTCTTCGCAACAGTGGATGTAAAATCAGATGCTTCTGATTGGTATTTCACAGGAAAAATCATTTTACGTAGAAACAATTTCAAAGAAATAAAAAGATCAAAAAAGGGTAGTGGTACCACCCTACTCAAAAAGATCAATGAATATGCCGGTATAAATTGTTATATACCGAGCGATGGATGCTGTTTTATAAAGTGCGTAAATCGTGTTAAAAAA